ATCTCTTGCCAGAAAAAGATATAAGAAAACGAAGGGAAATACATAGTTTGATTAAGAACGTTGAGGTATATGATTGATAAGATATTCGTATAATAAATCAGTTTTTGAGAAAAAATACCCTCAAAACTAAATCACACTCCTAGTAATAATAGTTATCACTCAAGTTTATAATAATAATAATGCATGTATCTTTGAGTTGACTGCATTTATTTTGTACATGTAAAATCTCATTTGTTAATGAAACAATAGTTGAAAAAACTATTTGATTTTTTTTATTAATTTTATTAAACAATATATGATACATAATATCGTCTTGAAATAATTATTTGTATTACGAAAATTTAGTAATAAAGTTTAGAATATATTCTTAATTTTCATAATATCTTTCCAAAAAGTGTATATATAAAAAAAATTCTCAGAAGAAATTAGAAATTTCTCAAGATTATCAGCGTTAATTCATATCTTAGTAGACCTAAACGTTCATAAGAAAATTAAGAAGCTTTTCATTAATGCAATTTGTATAATATAATTCTTTAATAATAAAAAAGAATTTGTATAATGTGAGAAAACAGCTAATACAATTGTTTTATAAATTGATTATTATATTTATATTGTTATACTATGTAATTTAATCTTACAGAATATCGAATATTGTAAAACATTCTAGCGCCAACAAAATGCTAAATGTGGAACTGTAATAAAAAATGAACCTACTATAATTAATAATTCGAATTTAGGACGCAAGAAATATAACTTTGTACGGCATACTGTTACAAAGTTATCTGCCTAAACGGTATTTCCTTGAAATTATATTTAGCAGGTAATGTAAGCAATTACATACCCGATATCGACATTTCCGATATCGCACAAGTACGACATAAAGTAACATATAAATACTCTTCAAAGGTCGAAGAAATAGTCAGTTGTTACTACATCGTAGACCTATATAATCGATTTTGCTTCCCAAGAAAAACAGTAAGTACTAACATACATCTAATTTAAAAAAAAAAGTTGAGAATCCAAATTAATAAATTATAAACAATATATATAAAACTATATATTGTTATTATTAATAATAAAATGTTTTTTGTTTTATTAGTGTCGTCATATAAAAGATGACTTGAAGTTAAAATGGCAATTTTTATAGAAGTATTATTTTGCAGGCGCGTGTCTCGAATTGTAGATATATTATAAAAATAATAATTACAGAAAATATTGACAAGGTGAAGTTCGTTATTTTCATTATTTTCGTTATGATTGCTATGGTTACGGCTGCTTCTGAAGAAGAATGTAATTCTTGGTATCAAAGTGTAAATATTTATACAATATATATTTTATGAAAGATAATCATTTTCCGCATTATATATTAGGAAACGATATAGAGATAAAAATGTTTAATTCATATTTTGTTCTATGTATAATCTATATAAACTTATTAAAACCACAAGAAAATATTTTATATTTGTATCAATGCATCCAATGCAATATTATTCGCAAATTAATATTAATTTTAATTTTAAATACCACAACCCTAAATATTATATTTTAAATATTTTAATGTGCTCAATCTAGTAAACTGCTGTCCTGGTTTGAGATGTCATTTTGGCTATGCAAAATGAAATTAGATGGTCGATGTATTAGATAAGAGACTTCTTGATCCTAAATCATATTCACCAAATTTGCCAAAATAATGTTCAAGAACGATAATATCGTTAAACACTTCTTTGTATCTGACCATGGCATTATTTTCGTTAATATTTATAAAAAAGAAAAGAGAATTTCTATTATATAATAACTTTAAATAAAGACATTCAAGAGTTATGAAAAATCTCTGACTTATTTATTATTATACGTGTGTAATATATGTATATTTATGAATGCATTTAAAATATAATATTAATAATGTATATGTATAAGAGTTCCTTAATATGAATATTACACAGAAAGAACGATTTTGTTGAAAGGTCTAAAAATTTTGCTAAAAACAGATCTGAAAAAAATGTTTTATTGAATCATTAAAATAATTTGTTGGAATGTTAAAACTGATAAGTATTGCTATAAAACGTTTTGATATTCTAGCAATTATTTTGACATTCATACAAAATTATTTTAATTATTGAATAAAAATTATTTTCAGATCTGGATTCAGCAAAATTGTTCTTTCCATGTAAGTTTCATTATAATCTTTCCAAAATCTTTTGTGACCTTTCCAAAAAATTTAGATATGAAAAGAAATTTTCAGAAAAAATTAGAATTTTTTCAAGATTATCAGAGTTAACTTTATATTTTAGTAGACCTAAACGTTCATAAGAAAATTAAGCTTTTCATTGGTGCAATTAGTACAATTCTTTAATAATCCATTTTTCCGTTTTCTAAAAAAGGCGTGTTAAGTCGATACTCGAATTTATCGAAGTTTATTGTTGTCGCTTTTCCGTGATACCGATTGGCTCTCTCGTTGCACTTACTTCGTTGATCGGTTGTCATCGCGAAAATTTTGACGGTTTTATATATTGAGATTACGTGTGTGTTGAATTGTGTGGTTATTCATTTTTAAAGAGTAAAAAGCTAAATGCCGCGCGCAAAGCGCGCGTCTATGGTGTTTAGTTATATAAATAGTTTATTATCTATTAATTTGGATTCTCGCAATTGATCAATTCTTTGACTTTTGAAGTGTATTTCTATGTTACTTCATAACGCACTTATGAGATTTAATAAAACATATCGAAAATATATGTAATTGCTTACATTACCTGCTAAATGTTAATTATTAATTATAAGAGGTTCATTTTTCATTACAGTTCCACATTATGCATTTTGTTGACGCTAGAGTGTTTTACAATATTTGATATTCTGTAAGATTAAATTACATAATATAATAATATAAATATAATAATTAATTTACAAAACACAATTGTGTTAACTGTTTTCAAACAATATTAAAATTCAATTTTATTATATTATTATCCTCCACATAAATATTTATTTTTATTATGAAGAAAATATTTTTTATAAGAAATTGTAATTTTATTGCTCAAATTTTATTTATTTATTTTTTACAAGATAGCAATGGCTTTCTTTTTCTAAAAGCTTCTTTGTTAAAAAGCAGGACAAATCATAACTCCCCTCCACTTTTTTAAGCTGGAGAATCTCCTTAAATGCAACACTTGTTAATATTTAATTGTTAAAATAAGAAAGATTCCAAGAATGTAAAACATGGAGAGTATAAATTTACGTTTGTCGATTATGAATTAATTTGCAGATGAATCGTTGGATACTCGTTTTCGCGGCTTTAGCTGCTTTGTCTTCGGCTGCCGATTCGGGAAGTGAGTATCCATATACATACATACGCACATGTGCGTGTATGTATATCGTTTAAAAGATGAATCAATTAAAAAAGCGTTCTCTATATCTGTTCCACAGTTGTAGTAAATGTACATGTTACCATTGTAATAATATTTTTCTAATGTCTTTCAGAGAAAATTGTATGTTACTTTGGTAGTTGGGCCGTTTATCGGCCTTCTGATGGCAAATTCGACATCTCTTACATTCAGCCGAAGCTTTGCACCCATCTGATCTATGCTTTCGTCGGCATCAGTCAGGAAGGCAAGGTCGTAGTTTTGGACGCGTGGCAAGATCTTCCCGACAATTCGGGCAAGGACGGCTTCGGTAGATTCAACAAGCTTCGCGAACAGAGTCCCGAGACCAAAACGCTCATCGCTATCGGTGGATGGAATGAAGGATCCGCAAAATTCTCCGCTGTTGTCGCTGATCCAACTACTCGCGCAAGATTCGTCAAAGATATCGTTGACTTTGTGAAGAAATACAAGTTCGATGGTTTCGATGTCGATTGGGAATATCCGTGCCAGCGCGATGGAAAACCAGAGGACAAGCACAACTATATAAGCCTGCTGAAAGAACTCAGAACCGAATTCGATAAACACGGATTGATTCTCAGTGCTGCCGTTGCTGCCGCCGAGTCTTCTGCCTCTCAGTCCTACGATATTTCCGCAATGTCCAAATATCTGGACTTTATCAACATTATGGCGTACGATTTCCATGGTGCTTGGGAACCAGTCACTGGTCATAACGCTCCGCTTTATCCGCGTAAAGATGAATCTGAAGACGATCGTAAGCTCAACGTCGTAAGTGTTGACTCCTTTAAGGGATATTCTAGTCTAGCGGATCGGAAAAATCGATTTTTTTTACATATTTTGCAAATATTTGATATAAAAAATATGTCTGCAAAATGATTTAGCCCGATTCGCAAAATTAACAAAGTTATAGGCCGGTATTCATAGTTGATTCTTATATTTAAGATCGTCTTAAGTATAGTCTTAAGATGTTACAAGCCAATAACAGAGTCGTATTAGCATCTTGACATTATTTAAGACGGCCTTGAAATAAAAACCGACTTATGAATGCCGGCCATAGCACTTGATAGAGAGCGGATTCAATCTATGTAATCAGTACAAAAAATTTTTAACGCATTTTTCTCAAAATCACGTTTTTCAAATTGGTACTCATGATCTCTTCAAAAATGGTACTCATGATCTCTCGAAAACCAATCAATTCGGACTTGTACACATATCTTCAGCATATGCGTGGCTATAGCCCCTACCTCGATCAAATCAAAATATGTCTTTTTTTAATTTTTACAACCATCTAAAGTTGAAAAAAAAAGCAAAAATCTAAATTTAAAATAAATCTAAATTTTCAAAATAATGTTTTTAAATTTTTACTATTTTTTTTATGATCTGGTACCAGCTATAGCCAAACTCATACTAAGTAAGAATTTCTTTGATTTTTTTGTTTTAAATGAGCAGAACAGCCGGAATTATGGATACCGTGGACCAATCTTTTTTTTTTATAACCTCAGTATATATTATACAGCTTATACTTATTTATAGTTATTTTTAGATACAAATATTTTGAAACATATTTCAAATATGTATAAATATGTAGGAAAAAACGCCCAAAAAACTTTATACTTTCTTTTAAAAAAATTTACAAAAATAGCATAAAAATTTGGCCTCTAAACTAGAATACCCCCTTAATTTATTTGACATTTGAAATTATTCAATACCACCAATCAATGTCACCAACAAACACAACTTAAAGAAAATAACATTCATTCTTGCAGGACGCATCTGTACACTATTGGTTGCGCAATGGCTGTCCGCCCGAGAAATTAATCCTTGGAGTACCATTCTACGGTAGGGCCTTTACTCTCGCAGATACGAATCAGCATGGCCTTGGAGCGCCTATCACTGGACCAGGTACTGCCGGTCCGTACACTCGCGAGGGTGGCATGCTCGGATACAATGAGATTTGCGAATCCTTTAAACAGGGTGGCTGGACCGTTGCTCGTCAGGAAGAGCATCGCACACCGTACGCTTACAAGGGCGATCAGTGGGTGGGCTACGACGATGTAACGTAAGTGCAATGTATTAGTAATTAGTAATTATTCTCCTCGGGTCCTTCCTTTATTCCTTTACAATTCCTAGCACGTCGTTTCAGAAATGTTTCATAATTGACTCTTAAAAATGTTTCTTAGTGGTTAAAATGTCCACTTGAAGAACGTTTCAAGAAACGTTTCTTTTTGGTAAAAAAAAGAAACGTAGAGAAATATAATCAAAATATCATTTTTTCTCCATCTGTAAAAAAGTTTGTCAGGGCGAGTACTCAAATTTTGTAAAAAAATTTCGTGAAAATTTTCAGATTTTCCAGGAATTTTATTCAAAATTCCAGGTAAGATTAGAGAATTTCTCAATACAGCTTTAAAATAATTTAAGCACTAAGAGTTCTAATAACGTATAGAATTTGATGCGTGAAACAATTTAATCTTCTCATATGTACAATAGTTACATTTTCATACAAAATTTTTCGAGCGTAACAAAAGATTTTGTACGGAGATATAACTACATAAGTGAAGATTACATTGTTTCACGCACCAAGTTCTGCGTTATTAGACTCTTAATGCCTGATTTATTATTTCTGGATTATTATTTTTTAGATTGAAGAGTCTTCATATATAGTATATGTCAATTTTAAAATAAATTAACTTTCAATATCAGGAGCCTTCGATATGGAGCCACGTTTACTTTCTAAAGGGATAAAATTAAATTTTAATAATTCAAAAAATTTCCCTGAGTACCAAAATTTCATGAGAATCCATAATTTTCAGGACAAAAATTCCCTGAGAATTTCAGGTTTTATCGGTTTTTCCCGGAAGTACCCATCCTGTTTGCGCATTCGTTTTTTTCAAGCAAGAGAGCTTTTTCACAGCTAGAGCAAAAATAATATTTTAATTATATTTCTCTACTTTTTTTTTTATCAAAAAGAAAGTTTCTTTAAATGCTTTTCGAGTAGACATTTTAACCACTCAGAAACGTTTTCAAGTTGCTACCTGGGTTCTTATCGTAATTTTTATTAATGTAATATTCTCTCTAGCATAATGCATTCTCTCTAGTAATACAATTTTGATAACGCCGTCTCTTTTTTTCAATCCATTCCCCTTTTCGATAGAAATTAAAAGTTAATTGAAAAAGATGGACGAGAATATGCATTGCGCGAGAATGTGATAATATATATACATATATAATGTATAATCACGCGTGCACAGTTCTTTTGCCGAGAAGACCGCTTATATCAATTCCTTGGGTCTCGGTGGCGCGATGGTGTGGAGTATTGAGACCGACGACTTCCTCGGCACGTGTGGTGAAAAGTATCCTCTGCTGAAAACATTGAATGCCAGACTTAGGAGACAAGTCCCAATAGAACTGTCAACCAAGCAACCATCGCAAACGACACAATCACCGCGAACGACGCAACCACCAGTGACTGCATCTCCTAGTGGTATTTGCAAGAAGGAAGGTTTTGTCCGCGATCAAAAAGATTGCAGCATATTCTACCGATGCCTAAAAGTCGATAGCGGTTATAAAATATACGAATTCAGTTGTGGAAGTGGACTAGCCTTCGACCCCGAAATCAACAATTGTAATTTCAAAAATCTCGTTCCTGGATGCAACTAACAATAATAGACGATAATAAATAGTTATGCTGTATATTTCTATAATGCTTCTACCTGTTATACAGCATGAAAACATAACAAATAGATGTGCTTTTCATTTTATGTACTCTGACACACACACAATATATATATAATATTATACGAACCCATTTCTCCTTTCTTTTTCTTTCTAACAATATATAATTAACATTTATTTGTATGTATATTTGCAATAAAGTTCATAAGAGTCATTATGTCATGTATATTCAAATAATTATTAATATGGTAAAATTCTGGTAAGCGACACAAAACAACGCACAATTAGACGACACGGATTGACTCGGCGAAGGCGAGCGCAAATACGGCGACTTTAGTGACTTTACTCGATATATGGCGTTGTCGATCGGATGGCGCGACACACAGAATCTATTCTCGAAACGCACGCACAAAAATACACGAAATACTTAATACGCGATTCGCCCGACAGTGAAACCGACTGCTGTAAAAAATATTTTATGACGTTCGTCTCGCCAAAGGCGGCAGCTATCTCTTAACCGGAATCCTCACATCTCGACATTCAAATTCGGATCTTGCATTGTCGAACATAAGTGCTGACTGGGGGATCCTGCAGGAAGCACGCAGATAAGGCAGTATAGATGTGAGTATTTTCATCCGCCATCTTGGTTCCAGCTAAGTGAACAATGTAACCTCGAAGTTTGCTCTGCAATAAAGTTAAAAATTATTAATTATTACAATTTTTTATTTTATTATTGCAATTTGCTACAACGCAGCAAAGCATCTTGATTGTAATGTACATTTACTTCATCAGACGTATACTATAAACTCACCACGTATTAGCTGCTTTCCATTTACGCCAAAATTCAGATAATTCTCATTTGTAACGTCATAACTCATTGTCAGTTGAATGTACGTTCCTTTTTATTCTAATAAGTGAAATTTAATTGAGTTTTTTTTTAAATCTGCACAAGCTCGAAATTGTATGCTTTTTACTGAGTCTGTTATAACTCATATTAAAAGTGAGGTATAAATTTATACTTTTGTACGCGATAACTTTCCACCAAAATAAGCAAGTAATGACGTCATTATCTGAATATAAAATACATAACTTTAGACTCAAAATCGGCATCATTTATGTGAAAATGGAAAGCAACTATTATAACCAAGTAGAACCAAGATGGCGAACAGGAGTACCTACATCTATAGTGCTCTAATGCAGATCGCGAGGTGTCACGGCCGATAATTCATGCCGATTATAGCCCTAACCCTTCTAGCGCGACGTCCACGAATTATGGGTGTCGCGAGTGGCCGAATATCTCGCGATCGGTGGTGCGAGCTTCGAATTTCCTTTGATTTTCCAGGCCCACGGCCCGTAAAGTCCTCCAAGATGTCCTTGGAAATGATCATTCCCACCAGAATCCGCGCTCTCTTCGATATTCCAGTCCGCTTTGGTCTCTCGATTAATTTTCCTCCGCCTCGCTCCCTGCGCGTCAAGTGGCGGATGCGCGGGATTACATCTCTGCGGCAGCCGATCGCGTCTTACTATTTTTTGCGGAAAAATGCTGACAGCAGTAAAGGGCTCAAGGAAAGGGCTCGATTGTTAAACTTCCAATAAAAGTTATTCCGATCTGCGTGTTCTGCGTTTCCCCCGGTGAATTTTGGCACCTCCAGCTCCGGTGTCAGCGTCCGTCTTCATCTTCTTCCCGCCGAGTTGGTAGAGACGAGAAACTTACACGCGTTGACAGATTAACCGGCGTCGATCTCGATAACTTATCGCTATGCTTAGAATAAAATTATCAAGTAAATGCACGATGAAATGCGCTACGAAATCGTATGCGCGTGAATACGCTCGCCTCCCTAAAGCGGAGAGGACGCAGAGTCCAAATCTTGCTTTCTCGGTCAGGCGATATGGCTCTTGTGACAGACGATTGAAAAACGTTACGTCACAATGTATGTAATATATATATATATATATATATATACACATATATATATATATATGTATATATGTATATATTTATAAATATATTTAAAATATAATATTTATTAATGTATATAAGAGTTTCTTTAATGTAAATATATTTAAACTTGCATTGCTATTTTATGTAGGTATGTAAAATTATTTATTCATGTATTACAGTGGAACCTCGATAACTCGAATCTCTACAACTCGAAAACCTCTATAAGATAAAAGTTTTGTTCATCCCTTTCCGCTCCGCTGCGGAAAACCTCTATAAATCGAAATAAAACCTACCTTAACTCGAAGTATTTGTCAGGCATTTAGATATAGTTATATTTTACCTCTGTAACTCGAATTTAAAGTAGCCAGACATCTACAAGTCGAAGTTCACCTCTATAAGTCAAACTTTTATTGTCTCTACCTCTATAATTCGAAGTTGTAGCTATGTGTAACCATGAGTAATAACCTAATATTTTGTTTTATGGTTAGATTTATCATACGTATGCAATAAATAATTCATTATTAAATATTGATTTTTTTTCTACTAAAAGCTATTATAATCGGAAAATAATAAACTCTCGTACAAAGCCTCCGCAAGTCAAATTTTCATATGTTAACTCTTTTTTACTCGAATTTTGATAAGTCAAAAACTCTATAACTCGAACAGTTTTTCTAGATCCTTGAGATTCGAGTTATCAAAGTTCGACTGTAATAAAATTGAGTGAGACATAATAATAATAGTTATCATTCAAGTTCATCGTCATAGTAATAATGTATGTAATATTCTTGAGTTGATTGCATTTGTTTTGTATATATAAAATCTCATTTATTAATGGAACAGTACAGTTAAGAAAAGTATCTGACTTTCTTGTTAATTTGATTAAGTAATATGTGAAACATAACGTCGTTCTGAAACAGGGTAACTCCGGCGTATACGCCGCACCTATTAAAAACTGAATTTATCAGACATTATTTATTATGTTTAAGGTAAATGAATTATACTAGTAAAAACTTTAGACTGTTCACTACTATAAAAAAATATTAGAAATTCAAAATATTTATTTTTTATATTAAAAAAAATTTTTTAACCCTTGCATTTTTGCCGTATATCCCATAAGGGATATTGATTACAATTTAGATAATGCCTATTGATACAATTTATATAATGTCAATCTTTAATAATAAAATAAAATTTTAATGAGAAAACAGTTAATACAATTGTGTTTTACAATTTGATTATTATATTACGTAATTTAATCTTATAGAATATCAAACATTGTAAAACGTTTTAACGCCAACAAAATGCAAAAATACGAAACTATAATAAAAAAATAAACACCTTATAATTATGATTAATAATTCGAATTAAAGACACATCAAGAATAATTATAACCTTATAATAGTCTGCCTAAACAGACGTTTTCTTACATATAGCAGACAACGTAAGCAATACATTTTTTAATATTTTTACTTTGAACAAGTGTGATATGAAGTGTAAATACTCTTCGAAGATCAAGAATTGATCAGTTGCGATTACATCGTATGATCTGCATGATCGGTTTTGCTTCTCAAGAAAAACGGTAAGTTCCATCAAGCATTTAATTTTTTAGAATAAAAATTGAGAATTCAAATTAATAGATAACAATCTGTTCATAAAAAACTGTCTATTGATATAATAATAATAACAAAATGTTTCTTGTTTTATTAGTTTGGTCATTTAAAAGATAAATTCATATATTAGTTTCGTCATTTAAAAGATAAATTCAGGTTAACATAAATTCACGTGAAGTTGAAATGGCAACTTCTATAGAAGTATTATTATCATATTGCATTATTGTTATACTGCTTGCGCGTATCTAATTGATATTATATAAAAAACAATAATTATAGGAAATATTGACAAGATGAAATTCGTTATTTTCACTATTTTCGTTATAATTGCCATGGCTATGGTTGCTTCAGAAGAAAATTGTTTTCCTTTCTTTCACGATGTAAGTATTTATATATAATTATCTCATAAAAGATAATTGTTTTTATTATAAAGAAATACAAGAAAAAAACGGTATCAGAATTAAAAAAATTTTAATTCATGTTTTGCTTTGTGCATAATTCACATAAACTTATTAAAACCATAAAAAAACATTTTACATCTGTATCGATGCATTTGCAATATTAATTAATATTAATTTTAATCTCGAGTAACACGTCTGTAAATATTATATTTTTAATATTTTAGTGTACCCAAGATATAGACTGCTGTAGTAGCAGATGTGTGACTAATATTAAAAAGTGTGGAGTCTAAACAAATGCATACCACAACATTCAAACCAGTACAAAATATTTAAAAAATATTTTCAAAACACTTTCTTTATATCTGACTGTGACTATGACTTTATATATATTTTTTTATATTTATATAAAAAAAAAACTTCTGTTATGACCTACTTTAAATAAAAATTTTCAAGAGCTATCATTATTCTTTATCTTATTTATTTATAATTAATTATAAATATATGTAATATATATTTAATAATACATGTACACGTCGCAGCCTTTTTACCAAGAATTATATGGTTTGGATTATGTCATTTATTGCAAACATTTATTGCAAACCCATGTGGATCACTGGTTTCGCATGTAAAGTACATGCGTGGAAGCTGTACATATGTTGTGCCCCTTCTACGGGGGGATCCACCTTGTTTCAAACTAACCTAACCCAAACCATTTTCAAAGGCGTTATGCAAAAAGGCGTCTTTTTGCAAAGAGGCTAACCTTTTTGCAAAAAGACTGATTATATAAAAAGGCTGCGACGTAGGTATATATTGTTACGCTCTGAGATCGAAATTTATTCTTTCGCGCACTCGCGGAAACTCAAGCAAATAAAGTAGACACTTTATAGAAACACTCAAATTCTTTAATGCGTTAGATTAGCAAATACAGCAAAGATTCAAACAGCAGATCGAAGAAAGTTGTAAAGCGTTCTCCTGACAACGCGTGATGTTTTTTTAAACGCGAACCATATTGATTTTGTGACGAGTCATCGTTCCGTTTGGACGTGCTCAGATCTGCTGTTGAATCTTATATAGTGAAATATTTTAGTGTATATAAATTTTTATATATTATGCTTAATAATATATATACACTAGCCCCAAAAAGTTTCCTGACAGAAATAAAATTTTTATGTTTTATTTTTATGTTTTAAGCCGCTGAACTTAGTGCGGCACTGTGCTAAATCAAAGAGTAGATGATTTTGGCATTTTAAGAGATACTTTAAGATATTCTGTAACGATTTTAAGTTTAATGCATCTCTATTACTCTAAACTCTTAAATCTGAGAGGCATGTTTGTCATAATGAAAATTGCAATGTTTGACGTAATGCATGGCCTTGGGAAAATTTGTCTCGAAAATGCGGCTTACAGCGTCATAAAGTTTGAATCTTCCTCTTCAATTTAAAAAAAATGCAAGTGGCTACGATTTTTTTTCGCAAAATTACAGCATTTTAAAGTAAATGTATTTTTCTTATGTATGATCGGCATTACCTTAGCACCATAGGAAGGTTGGCAATCGGATTTTGCACAATGTGTGTGTATGTGTGTATGTTTTACACATGCCCGCACGGATGATAATGTGTAATAATTTTTTTTACAATACCACACCACAATTCGGGGGAAAGGGGATCTTATAGATGTGTATTTAGCATCAAAGAGATTAAATCGTTAACTGATTTAATTTGTGACAAGTTTATTCCGGCCTCATGTAATGAATTGTGTTTCAAGACCGATGAATATGCGGCGCGCAGTTTGCGTGTGGCTGGATATTGTAAAAAAAATTAATACATATCAACATCCGTGTCGGCTCGATAGGCTTCAGTATATATTTGATTTATTCTTAGAAGCCTAAGTCCTTCAAATTATTTAATTTTTTTAATGTCAAATAACACGCCTTGATCCAGATACATCCAGATACAAACACTGGATAACATTTGGCAGCGTAAAACAATCAAATATATTATTTTATGTTTTAAATATTTTTGATGTCATATAACTGCTACCCTTAGTTCGATATGTTTGTCTTACGCTACCAAATATGTGTCATTCGAAGTGCTTGTATGAGTACAAAATAAGAGGTCTTTTAGTCTTAGATCATATCCACCAATTATGCCAAAATATAATAATACTAGAATCATAATATCACCAAACATTTCTTTATTTTGATCATGGCGCTATTTTTCTGTTATATTTATAAAAAAAGAGAAAATTTCTGATATAATTAACTTTAAATAAAGACGTTCAAGAGAAATATCAATATCTTCATTTTATTTACTAATAATGAATTATACATATGTAACATACACTTACTAATATGTTTAATATATTTAACAATATGTAAAAGAATTTTTTAATACATTTAATATATTTAACTTTGCTATTGTATATGAGATTATTTATTTATACATATATTAAATATAATTAAGTGCAACATAATAGTTATTAGTATTTAAATTTGTATTCTTATTATATGTATGTGAGATTATTTATTTATATATTAATACATTTTAAGTATGACATAATCGTTCAACTTTATCATAACAATGAAGCATAATATTTTGGTTTAATTATATATTTCTCTTTTTTGGCTAGATTTAATAGAAGCGGATATACGGGAATGATTTATAATTTTATAAAATCAGTCTTTTAAAGTCCGGCAAAGTTAAAATTTTATTATAACGCATTGTACACGAGAAATTACGTCCGAGTAATTTCGTCTCCTCGCCGAATTGCTATCTTTCCTTATTCGCTCAGTCATCTCTCTTCTTTCGTCGCTGTTTACGCGAGGGCATTTAAATCTCAAGTTCTAATTCCGTTGTTCTTTCTTTCTGGCGCTTATAGTTTACAATAATTGTTCGAGCTCGGAATTCAAATTGTAATTTAACGCGTACAGTGTTACGATTGTGTTTTGGTCATCGCTAGCCATGATAAGTCTATGCATTTCAATAAAAACGATTTTATAATTTCACGCGTTATTATTCCCTTGTCTATACGCCAACGGCTAACTGTCTCCTCTGTCTTACGTTTTTGCTCACTTTTTGTTGTTTTTTTTACGTGACCGATCAGCTGAGCGGATCCGCGAATTTGTCAGCATGAATACGTCTACCTGCCTTCTTATTCTTCACGAATTTTCAATGCAAATTAAATTTAATAGTTACAAGAATTTTAGCGCAGATTAAATTTTATGATTAGTTGGAGTAAGTAATGACGATGCAATCGCCACAATATCTGTGTGCTGACTACATTTATCTTGATAAATCTCATTTATTAATAGAACAGCAGTTAAAAAAAGGATCTGATTTTTTTGTTAATTAAGCTTAAATTGTTAATTAATATTATGTACGTTTTCTTAAAACATTTAATAAACTTTTATCTCATCTCAAATAATTAGCGGTTATATTTAAATTAGAATCACAAATTAAAAAAAAAACAATACTATTTAAATTTGTTGTACTATAAAACAACTTTTTTATAAAAAGTTTCTCACGATTATAAGAGTTAATTCATTATATTTCAGTAGATCTAAACGTTCATAAGAAATGTGTTAAAAAATCTTTTTGGTAAATTTCTATATACAATTTCTATAATGCAGTTTAATAAAATAAAATTTTAATAATGTGATAAAATATTTAATACCATTGTGTTTTACAATATAATTTAATTATTATAAGTATTACGTGATTGAACCTTACAGAATATCAAATATTGTAAAATACGGAACTGTAATAAAAAATATGCCCTTCACTAAAAAAAAATATTCCATCCTTTAGCACCCTTTTGATGCTAAAAGATTTTCCTCTTATATATGGCTCAAGAAAATATTCTAAAATGTAGAGGAATATCGAATTACTATGAAAATTTATTTTTGATTATAGCGCATGTGCTACTTTTTTGTAGATAAATATAACGCGTTATAGCTGAGGAATATGCTTCATGTAAAATTTTTTTGATTAGAGAAAATGCTTAAAGGAATTTCCCGCTTATAAGTGGAACATTTTTTTGGATGTTTATAATTATTATCAATAATTAAAATTAAAAGCGCAAGAATATAACCTTGTAACAATCTGCTCAAATAGATGTCTTCTTATATACAGCAAACAATGTAAGCAATACATTTGCAACATTTTTTATTTGCACAAGTGCGATATGAAGTATAAATACACTTTGAAGATCAAAAATTGATCAGTTACGATTACATCGTATGACCTGCATGATCGGTTTTGCTTCTCAAGAAAAACAGTAAGTTTTTGCATTTATCTAATTTTTAGAAATAAAATTTGAAAGTTCAAAATTTAAATTATCTTCTGATATTACATTAATTATAAAATATCTCTTGTTTTATTAGTTTGTTATTTAAAAGATAAATTCACTTGAAATTAAAATAACAATTTTTATAAAAGTATTACCAACATATTGTATTGACGTGTATTTCAAATTGTCGATATATTGTAAGAAATAATAATTACAGAAAACACTGGCAAGATGAAGTTCGTTATTTTCACTATTTTTGTTATGATTGCTATGACTATGGTTGCTTCTGAAGAAAAATGTAGTCCTTTGGGTCAATATGTAAGTATTTATATATTTTTTAAAATGAAAAATAGTCGTTTTCTTTATTATAAAGATTATTATAAAGATATCAAAGAAAACAATATTAGAATTATACAATTTTTAATTTCATATTTTGTTTTCTATGCTATTCATATAAACTTTATATTAAGGTAATAAGAAAATGTTTAAACCTATATCGGTACATCCGCAATATTAATTAATAGTAATTTTTCATGTTTCGGATAACACGTCTCTGAATATTATATTATTTTAAATCTTTTAGTGTACACAATATAGTGATTGCTGTCGTTATACGCAATGTTTGACCTACGCTGCCAAATGTGTGACAAAAGCCGGTATACTTGTGCCTGGAGAAGATAAGAGACCTCTTGGTCCTGGACCATATCCACCAAATATGCCAGAATAATAATACTAGAAATAATATTGCTTCTTAATCCTTTTTTATATCTGACCTTGTCTCTGTTTTCCTTTTATATTTATGTAAAAGAAAAGAGAATTTCTATTATAACTAACTTTAAATAAAGACATTCAACAGCTATCAATATTCTCCATTTTATTTATTAATAATTCATTACAAACATTCATTATAAACTATATAATTAATACATACAATAGCAATACAAAGTTAAAGATATTAATATTAAAGAACTCTTATATTTATTATTAAATACATTTATAAATATGTAATATATATTTACAAATATATTTAAATGTAATATAATAAATATAAGAGTTCTTTAACATTAATAGCTTTAAATTTGTATTGCTAGTGTATGTATTAATTTATATATTAATACAATTAGGTGCGACATAATAATTATCATTCTATTTTATCGTCATAGCAATAAGGCGTATATGATATCTTTGTGTTGACTGCATTTATTTCATATATGTAAAATCTCAGTTTAAAAAAAAATCCAAGAATTACCAAGGCGTAACATTCCTAAAGCACGATACTAAAAATATTGACCAAAATAATATCAATAAAAATCCCAGTAGACAAGAAGCTAACAAGTTGGTTTTTAAAGGCAAGGAGCCAAGCTGGTTCTTAATCTCTACAAATTATGTTTACAATAAAAAATTACATAATATAATAAATATCGAAAGTCGAAACAATTGTACAGTATTTATTATCTTATGTAATTTTGTATTGCAAAAATATAATTAGTTAGCACTAAGAACCAGCTTGGCTGATTGCCCTTTATAATTTTTAAATTGAATTCTAAACAATTAGCTTACATCTATTCCACAAATTTGCAAGATTTTGTTGTTCGAAAATTATAAATAATTTTCTACGTAATTTTACGTAATGTAGGGGAGAGTTGCTGAATGCGTATCACTTAAGATATTTTTGGTTATATTTCACGTTTGGTACTATTTAGAATACAAACGAACGTTGGAAATTGTAGCTTAATGTTCAAGGCATCTAATATTACATGTTAAATCTTTCACTTCAATAGCAAATTAATTTATTCTAATTGTAAGCTTTTTTGTAACAAGCTGTCAAAAGCACGATTCAGCAAACCGGCCGCCTAAATCATACCTGTGAGTTTTATTAATAGTACCTCCAGCTAAACTATTGAATTTACGAATGAAAATAATTAAAAACACAAGATTAATAAAAGAATCATGAATTAATATCT